CTCTGGGCTGCAGGGGGAGGCTCTGGGCTGCAGGAGGAGGCTCTGGGCCTGCAGGGGGAGGCTCTGGGCTGCAGGGGGAGGCTCTGGGCTGCAGGGAGAGGCTCTGGGCTGCAGGGGGAGGCTCTGGGCCTGCAGGGGGAGGAGCTGGCCTGCAGGGGGAGGCTCTGGGCTGCAGGAGGAGGCTCTGGGCTGCAGGGGGAGGCGCTGGGCTGCAGGGAGAGGCCCTTTGGCCTGAGCCCCCTTGCCTCCCAGGGCTGCTGCAGTGTTATGCCTGTCAGTCCCTGTACATGGGGGAGCGCTGCAAGCAAGTTCAAAACTGCGTCCACGGCCACAGCTTCTGCAAAGCCATCATCTCCCACAGGAACACGGGTGAGCAGGCCCCGCGGTGGCCAGGGCAGGAGGTGCCCCACCTCCCACGCAGAAAGGCGTGCACCCCAGTGAGGGGCCTCCTCCCTGCCCCAGCCTGTTCAGCGTGACGAAGCCTTTCTCCCCCGCCCCTCCCCCCTCCCAGAGTCGGGTCCTCTGACCACCTACTCCGCATGGTGTGCAGACACGTGTCAGCCCATCACTAAGACACTGGAAGGGACCCTGATGACCCTGACCTGTTGCCAGTCCACTCTCTGCAACATCCCACCCTGGCAGGACCCCCCAGGCAACGGAGCCGGTAGCCCCCAGGGCAGCCCCACGATGGTGGCTCTCCTGCTCAGCCTCCTTCCCGGCCTTCAGGCCGTGGGGTCCTGAATGCGTGGTCCCACCCCCACCCCACTCACACCCTGGATGGCCAGCACTCTGTCCAGTGCCTTACCCACCTGGCTCCCCGTCCCAGCTTTGATGAATAAATTTGGAGCATCTTTAATGGTCCGGCCAACACTGCCCCGTCTGCATTTCCTATTTCCTGGCTGTCTGGCATCTTTAGCCTCCTCCTCTCCCCACCGCCTGTGGCAACACATTGGCCCCAGGTCGAGGCCGCGGCTGCTCACAGGGCGGGTCCACACAGCTGGATAGAGAAAACATGCATCCTATGCCAGGGGGAGTCGGCCACGTTCTCTCCCCTCCCCTCCCCCAGACTGTTGCCTGGGTTCCTGAGAAGAGGAGTGGGCAGTGGGAGGGCTTGGGAAAGGAAACCCAAGGGTGCCCAGGGCCCGCTCTGGTCAGGCCGGCACCACTGGGTGCTGGGGGCTCTCCGCCTTCCTGGCTGGTGACAAGACAGAGCCCTGGGATAGAAGAGAGGAGGCCTGGGTCTGGGCCTCAGGTTCCCCATCAGAGCAGCATGGAATAAGGCTCAGAGGACCCCTCAATCCCCACCAGCCCAGCAGCCCAGAGTCCTACCCTGCCTGTCAAGCAGCTGCAGCAGGTGGGGTAGCCTCCCACTCTCCGCTTCCTTCTTTCCTTAGTAAAGAAAACCTCAAGGCTAGCTGGGGGGCAAATCCCCGGGGTAGAGGAGACAGGTCTGTCTTCTTCTCCTTCCTCCTCCTGCTGGCTGCAGTGATGTCTGCGGCTCAGCAGCCACTTCGCACCATGAGGCAGCACACTGGGATGGCAGGGCAGCAAGGAGGAAAGGCAGAGATCATGGTGACCAGGAGCCATTATACCAGCCCCACACTGCCTACCTCGGTACCCCATTCCTTGGGAGGGAAATAAATGGCTGCAGAGTTGAAGTGAGTCATTTCTCTGTCACTGCTTCTTCACACACTGTCACACACACCGGCTCCTGCAGGTACATACACTCTCATGTTACTCCCGCCGGTGCACGAACTCATGGTCACACACGCTCACCCACACAGATAAAAGCAGAGCTCAGGGCTCACCCTGTCTGGGTTAAAATGTTAGTTAAGCCCTTGCCCCAGCTCCACGACCCGCATGAACGCCATGCCCCACCTGCTCCGTGACCCAGACGAACCCCTTCACCTCCCCCGAAACCCCTGCCCCAACTGGGTTTCCTTGTCTGCCACGTGGCAGGGTAGGGGGGCCCTCCTGGGAGGACCAGCCTCAGTGAAGACCGACAAGCGCTGCAGGGGAAGAGCACCAGGCCTGAGCCAGAGGTTGGGAGAGGCCGGATGAGGGCCAAGATCCAGCTGGACCCCCAGGCCAAGGCCAGTCTGACGTACCAGGGACGGTCAGGACATTCTAGGCCAGTCCCAAGAAGGAACTGCCGGAAGTCAGGAGGTGGTCCCGCAGGGCTGCTCCCTCTCATCCAGCCCGGGAAGCACCTCTGCACCCACCCGCACAGCAGGCCAGGGAGTGTGTCCAGCTGGATCCCTGCCTCCATGTCTCATGACTGCGGTGACACGTGACCACACAGTGGCTCACAACAGCTCAAACGTATCCCCGTACGGTTCTGAAGCTCAGAAGTCTGAAATGAAGGGCTTTGTTCCTTCCGGAGCCTGTGATGGTGCGTTTTCTGTGTCAGCCTGACTGGGTCGAGAGAGGCCCGAATGATTTCTGGGTGTGTCTGGGAGGGGGTTTCCAAAGACATTAGCTTTCGGGTACAAAGATGGCCCCTGCCAATGTGGGGGGCTGCACCCCATCCACTGAGGGCCCAAACGGAACAACAAGGCGGAAAGGGCAAATTCACCCCCTGGAGCTGGACCTCCATCCTCTCCTGCCCTGAGACGCTGGAGCTCCTCGTCCCGAGGCCTTCAGACTCCAGTGAATCCCACCCCCAGCCTTCCTGGGGCTCCAGCTTGCGGACGGCAGGTACAGGACCTCTCGGCCTCCACAGCCACGTGAGCCAATCCCTGTGCTTGCACTCACAGATCCCGCTGTACATCCGCCTGGCTCCGCGTCTCTGGAATTCTGGCCCCTCACCACCATCTGCCTCAAATCTCCCTCAAATCTCCCTCCACCTCCCTCTTATCAAGGCCTTTGTGGTGACATGGGGCCACCACCCAAGCAAGGACAATCTCTCGTCCCAAGACCTTCAACCCCATCACGTCACCCCTTCGCCGCACGAGGCCACACATCTCCAGGCTCCAGGGATCAGGCCTTGGAAGTTAGCCAGTCATTACTGAGCGTCACCCACCGCCCAACGTCAGAGCCCCCAGCCGTTGCACGTCTGGCCGTGTGCCGGGCCTTGGACCCAAGGACGGTGAGCTCGCTGGTCACAGGGGCCACAGCCCAGAAGTCAGGCGTGGCTCTCAGCCCCCGCGTGGCCTCTAGCAACACTCCTGCCATCCAGACACGATTCAGATGCGCTTTGCCTTTGCCACTACTAGATTCAGGCTCCTAGAGAGCTGCGATTTTTAAGATGGAATCTATGATGGGCAGGTGGGGGAGGGGAGAAAGACAACCCATCCAGTGAACGGACGGGCTCCCCCACACTGCATCCACAGGCATGGATGGCCTCCCTGTGCCTGCAGGCTGCGGTCACCCTCAGCCTGCGGTGGCAGATTGCCTGGGCTGAAGTGCCTCGAGGCAGGCAGTCCCCCAAGTCACACATACCCTTCCCTCTACCCGATGCGCCAATGCCCCACACCACTGTGCCCAGCGCCCTGTGGTCCCCCGGCTGTCGCAGAGCTGGACGTGGTGCCTGATTCCAACTCATGGGACAAATTCTAACCACACCTCCCTCCCCCCGAGCTCTGACCAGCTGGGGACACAGGCACACAGACCCCCCAAGGAAGATGCAACTGAGGATGCAGGGCCCCAGGCCGGGGGGTGAGGGTGGGGGTGGTGCAGGCAGATCCCAGGAGCTGCAGGAGAGACAGAGGCAGAGCCAGAGGGTGACAGGCCTCCCCAGAAGCCACTCCCCCTGGAAAGGTCGCTCACCCTCCCTTGGAAGCAGGTGTCTGGGGAATGAGGCTCCTCCCTGGTATGGGCCCGACTGGTTGTCTCTTAACCCCCTGAACTCAATGTGCACACAGAGGGGCAGGTCAAAGCCTCGCCCTCCTGAGCCCCCCATCCTTGCCTCTGTGCTCTGCCATCTCCTCCCCCAGGGCTCTGAGACCCGCTGCCAGCCTGGCCGCACCCTGGCAAAGCTCACTCCCTCCCCGTCTCCGTCTCCCCGCCACCAGAGGGTGTGCAGCCCACTCCCATGAAGCAAAGACGATCACGCAGCACCCCAGACTTTGCAGGACCTCAGGCTCGCTGAGTCCTCTATTAAGCCAGGGGGCTCAGGAGCCTGGTGAAAGAGCTACGTGCCCCTCCTCAAATCTCGCTCCTCCAAAGCTTCTGTCTTTTGGCTGGAGGGCCCTGCTCTGGGCAGCAATAAATCAACCCCTACCTAGAGCGGGCTGCATGCCCATCTCCACATTCCAGCTGAGAAGCAAGATGAAGGAAGAAGCAAACACCTGCTGGTGTCACCCCTCCCATGCCCGCCCTCCCCACAGCATCACCCCACCCATGCCCGCCCTCCCCAAACCCATGCCTGCCCTCCCCATGGCATCACCCCGCCTGTGCTTGCCCTCCCGATAGCGTCACCCCACCCATGCCCGTGCCTGCCCTCCCTATGCCTGTGCCCGCCCTCCCCATGGTGTCACCCCACCCGCCTGTGCCCACCCTCTCCACAGCATCACTCTGCCTGTGCTCGCCCTCCCCAATTCCCCATGGCATCACCCCACCCATGCCCATGCCCGCCCTCCCCAAGCTCGTGCCCGCCCTCCCCGTGGTGTCACCCCACCCATGCCCACATTCCCCACGGCGTCACCCTGCCCCATGCCCGCCCTCCCCACGGTGTCACCCTGCCCGAGCCCACTCCCCAAGGCTCCAATGCGGGGTGCCCTCCCCCATCTGCACTCCCCTCCTGGATGTCCGGACTCCAGCAAGGGCCTCCTCAAGGCCAAACTCTGTGTTCTCCCAAGAAGAGACCTTTGCTCACTTTGTCTGGATCAGTCTGCAGTGTATTCAGCAGCAAGGAACAGAAAATCCATCTAACTGTACCTAGAAAAAAGACTTGGCTTTGGATGCATCACCACGGCCTGGGGAGCATGCGCGCAGCAGCCAGAGCAGGACGGGGGGGGGCCCTAGCCCGTGGCCTTTATGAGCGCGTGTGGTAGCCAGGTCCTGCTGGCCTCCTCGGTCCTTGTCCATCTGTCCATCAGGGTGCTCAGTGACCGGTCAGGGCCGCTTGCGTGGCCTGTGTCCCCACGCAGTCTGCAGCGGCAGCAGCCAGCCTGCCCAGGAGCGCCGCGTTCTGCACACAGACCTCTGTAAATGGAGACAGGCCTCTCCCTGCCCACTTCAAACCCTGAGCAAACCCCGCACCACCCCGATTCCCCAGGGTGTCCCCTGTCCCGCAGAGTTGGTGGTTTCTATGGTGATTCGGCTTGAGCCAGCCTCAGGCAGATCCCGCGGGCACGCACCACGGAGGGCCCCTCCCGACGTGAGAGCCCCTCCCGACGTGAGGGTCTGGGGGCCTCACAGGGGTCTTTCCCACCGCAGCCTGTTGGCAGGTGCGCAGCCCAGGCCCACCCAAATGAGAAAATTAATCAAAGGAAACCTCACCAAAACACAAGTCAGGAGCTTGGGCAGCGGGAGCTCTCACCCCCTCCTACTCTCATCACGTACAAATCCGACGGGAAGAGAGGCGCCTCCCCCGCCCTACTGCTTTCCCTGCTCCCGCACTCCCTGCTGCGCTGGAAGAGGGGAGCTTTCCTCCGCCCCTGGCAACAGCCCAGCCAATGAGAAGCCAGTACACTCCCAGCTCCCCGTTTAGCTCAATGGGCTTTCAGTTGACAACAGCCCCTCCCAGCTCCCCCTCTCCTCTGGGAAAGCGCTTTGCTGTCCTTCGCCCCGCAAACCTGCGGTGTTTTGCTTGCCCCGGCTTGCAATTCTCCGCCGTTCCTCAATAAACCCATTCTTGCTGGTAAAATGACTAGAAGTTTTATTTTCAAGGTTAACACGTGCAGAGGCCCCACTTCCGCGCTGGAATCAGGATCATGGCGCCCATCCCCACCCCCCACCCCCGCCCTCGGGAGGTTGTGGCATTTGGGGGTGCTGGAGCCTGACACAGCTGTCCATCATCAAAGCAGCAAAAATGTTCAGCCTCCGCAGGAATCTAGAAGTGGGCATACAAGTCAGCGAGGCGTTTGGGAGGGGCTGTTAGCAGCACGGGGGCGGGGGGGCTAAGCCAGCACACCCTTTGACCCCGTGGTTCCCCCGAAGTCTGTCCTACAGACGCCAGAGCCGCTCCTCTGGACAGGCCTCCTGGGCAGTGCGTCGGCTCTGCTGGTGTCGCCTGTGGGTGGCAGTAGGCACTTGGGAGAGGTCCCCTCTTCTAGACTGAAAGCAGGGGGCATGAGGCTTCCAAGAGCCGGGCTTCCCCGTGGACGGGGAAGGACACGTCTGTCCCAGAGGCCAGTAGCTTAGGACAGGGAGAGGCTGCAGTTGGTAGACCAGCCTCCGGGCCTCGGTCAGACTTCAGCGGTCCTCACCCCAGGGCACTGCAGGTACTCGAACCCCCAGAGGATACTCCTCAAGAGCCTAATGCTGGAAACTTCTGGAGCTGGTGGCCCTGCCGCTTGGATGCTGTCGAGAGTCTCCCTGGCCTTTGTCAGTGTGCTTGGGAGCTGCTAAGAGGACAAGGAGCCCATGCAGCCCCAGGGCTGGCCCCTGGCCAGGCCTCAAGCCTGAATGGGCCGCTTCCCAGCTGTGTGATCTCGGCAAGCCACATGGCCTCTCTGTGCGCAGTGCCCTGGCCCACAAAGCCAGAGAAAAGCAGAACCCGTCTCCTAGGCTCCGTGTGGAGGCCGACGGGTATTGGCCGCCACGTGCTGGTGCTCTAGTGACGGGGGTGATGGTGGCGGTCCCTGCTCAGACTCTCGGAGCTGTTCTTGGGGGGGCGGGGTCCAGGCTCGCTCAAGCTCTATCCGCCTCCCAGCACTGAGTCTGCCCACTCACCCCGCTCCCTTCTGCTCCCCCACAGCTGGCCCCTGACATGGAGAGTACAAACAGGCTGAGGGACTCCTACCCAAGCTGTCTCACCACCCCCACCTCGAAACCAGCCCCTGGGGCCACCTCAGGGCCCTGTGCACCCCCACCCAGTCCTGGCACTGGGAGCAAGCTCAGGAAGAATGCTCTGTTCCCTCTTCTGGGCCCACAGGACCTGCCTGCTGGAACAAGGGCCCTGGGGGGGAGGGCGCACACAGACACTCCCTGGGCATCCCGCCCCTGCAGCCTCCATCCTTCCCACGGTGCTGGGGCTTTTCCCGTCTCCTGCCCACCCATGGCCCCCCTGGGTCAGCTGCCATTGTCCACTCTCCCCTTCCAAGATTGAGTCCTGGGGTGGTCTCAGGACTTCCTTTTTCCCAAAACAGGAAGCAGGTGGCCATGGTGCACTTCCTGTCCTTGTTCTCTCTGCGAGAACCAAGGATGAAGCACTGACCCAAAAGCAGGATGTTCTTGAGGATGGAGCTTGCTGAACACTGGCCCTCTAGTGACTGCTGGGTTTGCAGAAGCTGATGGACCCAGGACCCACCTGGAACCTTCCAGAAGGAGAGGAATCATGGGCTCCCATCTGAGAGCTGGTGAGGGGTCCCATGTGGTTCAGTGTCACCTGACACTCAGGCCTTTCAGCCTCAGAGGACACTCCTGGCACAGAGGCATGTCCTGCCTGAGGATGCACCAGGGGGGCGGCTGGGCTCTGTGGTGGGGCTGCTGGGGCGGGGGGGTGCCTGGCTGCAGGGTCTCAGAGAATGGGGGGCAGGGGGCGGGAATGGAGAAACACAGGAAAGCCTCCACACGGCTCCCCCTCCCCCCATGTCCTCATTCCTCCCAGAAAGAGCCTGAGCTGAGCAGTGAGTTGGAGGTATCTGTGCCAGGACTCAGTTCTCTTCCGGCTGCAGAGGACGCCCCCCCCCCAGGGCCCAATCCCAGAAGCCCTGACCTGGGAGCATTCACTGATGAGCAAGCCTTGAAGGTGACAGCTGCAGGAAAGCCTTCCGTCCACGCGTCACACAACCCTACAGTCACCAAGTGAAGCCTCGCAGGCGCCGCACAGCCTCTGGGCCCAGGCCGGGCCTGACAGTGAACTTATGCTGCAGGGAAGCAGGGGGATGACCTGGGGGTCAGGCTTCCCCGGCCTGTTGTCACCCATGCAACCCCTGATAATTCACCTCCCAGAAGCCTGGCGGTGGGGCACCTGCATGGTGCAGCCGGTGGGCGTCCGATTCTTGATCTCAGCTCGGGTCGTGAGTTCAGGCCCCACGTTGGGCTCCGTGCTGGGTGTGGAGCCTAGTTAAAACTAAATATATATATATTAAGCCTGTCAGCAGATGAGCCTGGGGAAGGAGCCTACTTACCGCCCACCTTGTCACAAACTGTAGGCTCAAGGGGCCAGAGGTTAGCTCTTCCGGGTAAATGGGTGTGACCCATAATTGAGGAACATGCCCACAGGTAAGGAATCAATGTTTCTTGGAAGAATATGAAACCTGATGGCCTGACTCTTGGGTCTCCTCCTTGCTCCGCGTCCGAAGCTTCACTGAGCCCCTGTGTGAGTCCCCACGACTGTGCTCTGGAGCAGCAGTTCTGGACCCCGGATGCCCAGAAGAATCATCTAGGGGCACTTTCAAATCATACCAATGTTAGGGGTCCACTCCCCCCCCCCCCGCCACGAGGTGGGGTCTGGGTAGCAGTCTCTTAAGCTCTGCGGTGTTTCAGATGAACAGCTTGGGCTGAGCGCCACTGCGCCAGAGGGGGCCTGCCGTCTGCTGCCCCGGAAACCTGACTGACCGTTAGGATCACAGGGAAGCCTCTAAAATTATGCCTCACTAGGCTCAGCCCCACGTATTGCTTCACCAGCTCTTGGGTGGCACCTGAAAAAGAATTTTTTTAAGGATTCTAAGGTGATTCTAATCGACCGTTTTATGGTGGTCGAACAGCATCACACGCTACGGAGATATTGTTCATGAAAAGAAGAGTCAGTCACTGTGGCAAACTTCATTGTTGTCTTAAGAACTTGCCAGCGTGCGCCCCCCTGCCCCCCTAGCTTCAGCAGCCACCACCCGGATGAGTCAGTAGCCACCAACATCAGGCAGAAAGACGGACTCGCTGAAAGCTCAGGTGACTGTTAGCAGTTTTAGCAAGAGAGTATTTTTTTGTAATAAAGGCATGTACATCGTATTTTAGACATAATGCTGCTGCAGGCTTAATCGACTAGAGCATGGTGTAAGCATAACTCTGATTGCCACTGGGAAACCAAACGTTCATTTGACTCACCTCATTGCGTCGGTCTGGAGCCCCGCTTCCCTCGCCCTCCGAGGCGTGCCTGAGCCTGGTAAACATACTAATAAGGAGATGACATAGTATGTCAGAGACTGGAATGTGCTATGAAAAAAAACTGCAGGGCAGGGCGGGGGAGTCCAGAGGTGGGGGAATAGACCAACTGTGGTGTTACAGAGACTGCTGCCCTCCCCAAATGCAGGCGGCACCGGTGACTTGTTTCAAAACCACAATATGGCAGAGGTGACAGGATGTCAGTCCTGCAGTTAGGTCACGTTGTGTGTTGGTGACAGGAGGTCACTCCCGTGGTTAGGCTGCCTTCTATGAGACTCCATCTGAGCAGACCGGGGAGAGAGGCTCTCTTGCTGGCCCTGAAGAAGCAAGCAGCCATGTTGGGAACTGCCCATGGAGGGGGCCTCGTGGCAGGGAATGGGGGGGCGACTAGGACGCAAGGCCAGCCTCTAGCCAATGGCCAATAAGAAGCAGGCCCTCAGTAGCACAGCCCCCAGGAAATGCATCCTGCCAACAAGCAGGGGAGTGTGGAAGCGGATTCTTCCACATTTGAGCCTCCAGCTGAGAACGCAGCCGGCTGACACCTGACTGCAGCCTGGCACGACCAAGCAGAGGACAGCTGAGCCATGCCTGGACGCCAGGATGCCTGTCCCACAGGAACTCAGGTAACAAACAGGTGTTGTTTTAAGCAGCTAAGTTTGTGGGAAGCAGGAACTGAATACACATAGGAAGGCAGGTGGGCTCCACCGAGTTGCTGAGCTCTCAGTGGGCAGGAAGTGGGAGTGCGCCAGGTAGCCAGCCAAGGATGAGAGTGCCAGGCGAGGGGGCACCAGTGCAACCGGACACAGGCCAAGTGCACAGGCTGTGTGTGAGGAGCAGTCCGGCGGCTGGAGAGGAGTGAGGGAGGGGGCAGGGGCGAGGGAGGGGGGCGC